TCTCATGTGTTTGTGCTGCACTGTCCTCACTGACTGGGGCAGCAACAATAAAACGTGGTTGCAGATTGTTTGCAAACACATCCATCTAGAGGCCGCCCTCTTTCCCCTGTCCTCACCTCCTTACTCCCCTCTTTCCCCTGTCCTCACCTCCTTACTCCTCTCTTTCCCCTGTCCTCACCTCCTTACTCCCCTCTTTCCCCTGTCCTCACCTCCACACTCCCTTCTGCTTTGTTCCCCATCCCAGGACTGATTCCAGCTGGAGATCTGACCTGCTGATGGTTGAGCTGCTCCAGCCCTTCTTTCACCCTGCAGAAGCTTTCTGGCCAGTCTGTGTGTCTCAGGGGCACATTGCTTATTCCCACTGGTCAAAAAGAAATGTCACCACTTCCTTTCCATAGCTTTCCTCATGCACAGCTTCCTGTTTCCTGCTTTTAATTTGTTTAAGAACCAAGGGAAGCCATTGGTGCATGATTCCTGTTACTGCACAACCCCCTCATCATGTCCCACCTCCTTCATGAGTCCCATTCCACCCAGTTTGCAGCTACCACCCTAAACTGTTCCCTTGCTTATTCAGATCTCCATTTATCCCAGCAATTTTACAACTTTCAAGTCATTTGGGATAGATGGAGTTGTGTTGTAACCTGAATGAAGGACTTATTCTGCCACACCATGCAGAAGGGGGTAAAATCTGCCTGGTACTATGTGAGCTAAGGTGGAATAGGTTTGTAAAGTAGTTTCTGGACCACCAGGCACTCCTGCCCCGTGTTTGGCACAGAGGTGAATGTACCTGCATGGCTGCAAATAAACTGTGTGAGGTTCACTTGGCCAACATCAGTCATCAAACTACAGGTGACTCAGGATCAGGTGGATGGTTGTCAAGCTATTTCCAGGGCCCCAGACTGACAGGGGAATACAGATAAACATGAAGTAGCCTGTGAATCTGGGAATTATCCCACTAGTGTGATGGAAACCCACTGAAATCTCCGTTGGTCTCATGCTTCAGGGTGCTGGTCTATGATCTGCAGCCACGTGGTGTCACAGAGGGCCACATTTCAAGTTAATAGTTTTCAGTTAATAGTTTCTAAGTGAGACATTTTGCTTCCCTCTGTCCCCCCACCAGAGCTTCTCTCTGAATTGGCAGGTCTCTCCATCCTTGCTCCCAAAATAGTTGCCCTCATGAACGTGCAGTCCCAGCTGCAGCAACATCCCAGAGCAATCAGGCACCTTGGAAGGCTCCAGACTCTGTGTTACCACACAACAGTGAGATTCAAGGGCTATAACACATAGAGATCTGTATTCAGTACATCAAACCTCAACATGAACATCAGGAATTCCTATGAGTGGAATAAATTTCCCATAAATATCGTGTATGCAGTATGGGCTCACCACTTCCAAGGGGAAAAACTGAATCAGAGATGAGCCAAAAAAGATATTCAGCTGGATCAACCTCTGTCTAAGAAGCTACTAAAGAAATTATTGCTTTCCAGCTAGGAAAGGAGATGCTGCCTGTGCCTGCAAGGCACCTGTAAGGCCACAGGTAGCACAGGGGAAACAAGGGGGAATGATGACTATATTTTTTCTGATACGAGAGCCAGAAAAGGGCAGGTTAAAAGGATTAAGTGGAGCTGTGCCTTTGCACACTGTCCATAACACTGGAGCTCTTGTCACAAACATTGTGGGTGCTACAAGATTAGGTTTGTTCAAACAGCAACTAGAGAAATCCAGCAAAAACCACTGAATGTAATGACACTGTGGATGATTTAGGTTGTCTCCGAGCTGCTCATCTTAGATGGCCAGAAGAAAATTATTATTGCATGCTCATGTTGATCTTCTTCCTCAAACATCATCCCCTGGCCACTGTCAGGGACTAGGCAGGGCTTTGGTTTGACCAGTACTGCTCAATTGACAGACTAAAATGGACTCATTTCATGATGCTTCTCAGCAGGGAACTGGGCTTGCTGCCTCTCTTTGTGGCCTTTGCTACATCTCTGCTGCTGACAAATGCACCACAGTAATATGAGTCTGTGATTCAGTTCAAAACACTTTGTGCTTCTTTGGGATAAAAGGCAGAACAGGGTTTTTTTGCAGAAAACAGAGATTAAAGGATAATGACATTAGCAAGATGCTTCTAGGAGAAGTGATCAACCATGTATTTTCCAGACAGGCACAGCTCTACTGAGAGCTCTCCTCCTGGAAGAGGAAAAGGAGCCTCATTCGTGCCAGGCTCCTTTTAATTTGTTTAAAAGGAACAAAATTTAGAAGGGACAAAACTGTTTCTATGGCATGAAGATCCCATGCAATCTCTAGCTGGTATCACAACGTCACACAACATCTTCCCATCCACCTCTCTTGGGGGATTGGGTACCTTGTTACCTGATGTATTTTCTATGAGGAGGTTTCTGGACTCTGTTTTTAGTTCTCCCTCTCTGCTCCTCCCTTGCTGTGGGAAGCCTTGCCCCAGAATCCTTTCCTGTAGGATTTATGATGCAAGACTTTGCCAGACGGATCATTTTGCTTTCTACCAAGTGGCATATTTGATGGTTGCAGGGGTGATGGCTCCCTGCAGGCTGTGCTTGTTCTTCATCCATGTGCTTTTCAATTTGCACCAGTGCTTTGGTTCATGGAGTTTCAGTGCTCCCTGATCTGATGGCACACTTGCAGTTTATCAGAGACCCACAGCTCTGCTTTCCCCAGCAGAAATGTGCTACTATCTCATAAAGGTATGAATTATACACCCTCATCTGTATAATGAATCTGCATTCCCCAAATAAATTATGCAGACTCATAATGGCTTTGGCTTCTAGTTACCATTAATCTTAACTGGAAGGGAGAGCTGAATTTCCTACAGAAGTTTGGGAGTTTTCATATTTGAGGGTTTTTTTGCAAGCCCTTCACTGGAGGCTTGCTCATGTCACCCTCTGCAGACACTGCAGTGTGTGCACACTCTGCCCACATTTGGCTCCCAGCTGGCTGGCAGGACGTGCCCTCGGAGGGAGCAGCTCTCTGCTGTCCCAGGGCTCTGAGCACTTTGGGTCTTTGCTGAAGCATTTGCCATGTCTGCTGTGCAGAGCACTTTGGGACAGCTCGCTGTGCCCTGGGTGACTGTGAAAATACAGAGCCAGAGGCGATGGTTATTCAAGGCCAGGCGTGGAAACAGCTCTGCTCCGTGCACAGCCCCGCTGCTGCCAGACACTGGGAGGCATTGGTTTCCCTGTGGGAATGGAAGACAATGGAGTGGGACAATGCAGTGAGCTTGGCTCTGCCTTGAGCTGAGCACAGGTAACAGCGTGGGCTGCTCCAGCTGGGCACAGCCCAGGGAGAAACTCTGCATTTGGAGAAGCACAGACCCCAGGTGGGCAGAGAGTCCTAAAAGCAGGAGAGCCAGAACCAGCTTGTCTGGTTGCTCAGGTGCCAAGCATGACCCACATGTGAGAGGCTTCACAGGGTGCTGGGAGCCCTCCTTTACCTGGGAGAGCCTGGATGTGCCCAGCAGGTGCTGGGCTGGAGCCAGAGCATGGGAATGCACCCCTTGGCTCTGGTGGTGTGGGGATGCAGCCTCTGAGCCTCTGCAAAGGAGGGATGAGCACAGGGGCTGCCTGAGGAGTGGGGAGCAGCCCCAGCTCCCTCCAGGGCAGGCTGTGTCTCGCTCTGCTGCTCCTCCTGTGGTTCTGAGTAGCTCCTGCCTGGGGCTCTGGTTCAAGCCTTCTTCCTCAAATCCTGTGTCAATGAGGAGTTCTGTCTCAGGAATGGGTCTGAAGTCACTGACCTCCCCATAAGGTTCATTTATGCTTTGGAAAACAGGATGGAAGAGAGTATCTCCTCAGAAACCTTGACTGCAGCATAAAAGGTGCTGGAAAGTAGGTGGTAGCCACACTGCTGGAGGTGTAACTGTGTTAGGGTCTGGGCAAGGTGGGTAGTCCAGGAAAGGGGACTGTCTTTAATGATGTTAAGTATTCAGTCGTAAAAAACCAATGCTTTTGAGTGCCCAGCCCTTCTCTGAGTTATGTGAAGATGGGTCTGCATTTCCCAAAGCTGCTCAGGTTTTTGCCTTCTTAGAAGCCTCTGTCTTACCTGTGGAGAATCTGTTTTGGGCTGTAAGTTTGTCTGAGTCATTCAGAGACAGGAATTACAGAGAAATTCTGCAGACTACCTTCAGGGTTTTGGGTTTTTGTTTTTGTTTTTGTTTTTTTTTTTTTTTGTAGCTCACATGTCTGGAAAGCTTTTCTCCAGAAAGAAATTTTAGATTTGGAAAAAGCACCTGTGTCCCAGGAAACTTGAGTCACGCTGGCTGCCTCTCTCTTAGCATGAACTGGGGCTGACTGACTTCTCCTGCTGAACTTCTGCTGGGTTTTTCCCAGCAAGACTTCTCCTGCTGGACCTCTGTCGTTGAGGCAGGACAGGGAAACACTCAGAAAATGGGAGGGAGAGATGGAGTTGATCTTGCTTGTGTTAGACCTGCTCCTGGGACAAGGATGGCACTTGCTTCTGGCTCTGAAAACTTACTCCCTCCCAATGATACGAAGCAGTGCAATGTCCTCTTCACTATCTCAGTATCTTCAGTATCATGATGTGCTCAGGCCTCAGCAGCAGGTCACCACGAGTCTGTGACTCTCCAGCACATCTTTCTCTTGACCTGCTGCCTGCCTGATGTCCCAGGGTTCTGAGCACAAGGGGAGGGCAAGCAGAGGTGGGAAAGGGGCACTCTTCCCTGCAGCTTGCCAATAAGATGACCTTGCCCTGACATGCTGGCCGCTCAGAGGAAGATGTGCCTTCAACTCCTCACTCATTTGGCCACTTTTTCTGGAAAAGGAAAGGTCAGGTTGCAGCCCCAGGACCTGGAGAGGTGAAGGTGGGTCTGAAGGCACAGGCCGAGGTTTGTCGCTCTGGGGTTTTTACTTTGGCAAACAAACTAGCTGAAAACCATCTGAGGAAGCAGAATTGCCCAACAAAGGAAATAACAATATATCCTTTTTTGTGTGTGTTTTTGTTTTCCCCTGCAGTAACCACAACTCTCTCCTCCTGGTCCGGGCACGCCAGAAAATGCAACGAAACAACCAAGTCCTATTGTGTCAATGGTGGGGTGTGCTACTACATCGAGGGGATTAATCAGCTGTCGTGCAAGTAAGTGAGTGGAGTTCTTGTGTCAATATGGAAACTACTTGGCTGGGGGAGAGGAGACCTTTGTGCGACTGCCAGAGGAGCGGGAGCTCTGAAATCCTCCTGGCAATTGCAGCTTGAGCTGTGCAGGTTCAGAAGGGGACACAAGAGGGGCAGGGGTGGGGGGGGTGAGGATTTGTATTTTCCTTTTTTCGTGTGTGTCTCACTGTTGACTTTTCCTGGATTTTCTTCCTCTAAGGATATGTTTGTCCTGGCTGTTTCTTTTCCCCTCTTTTCCCTTTCTCCTCTGCAGCTTCAGGGAAAGTTGGGTCCCCTCTCCTCCGTGACTGGAGGTGGTCCCTGTCCTTTACCTCTCCTATCTCTGTCTCCTGGGCCCAGGTTTAGCACACAGCTCTTCACCCCTCTGTGCTGCTTTGTGGCCACTGCAAGTTGTTTATTTCTCCCCTTTAAACCTGCAATAAAAAAACAGAGACACACATTATGTTATCCTTAAAATGAAATTTCTTGAGGAGGTTGAAGTGGGGCTGCATAGTCTGAGGGATGTGGAATGGGATGTGAGACTTTTTCCCCTCTGGTTCACAGCCAGAAAGCCCAAAAGCATCTCACCCCTCACCCCCCCCCAAGCCTAATAGTGACTGAATAACTAGTGCAGTCTGGTTGCCAGTGCTGGGCATGTAGGTACCCAGAGCACACCTGTACCTGCCCCTGGGCTCCTGCAGAGTGAGCATGAGGTGGTGCCCTGGATGTGCATTCACTGAACAGATGGAGCCAGCTTCTGAGCTCTCCTGGTGACCCAGGCATCCCTGTGCCCAGCTTGGAGAATCCCAGAGCTGACAGTTTTCTCCCTGTGTGGCCCAGAGACCTCTGCATGGAGACACACAGCCAAAGGTGTGTGACAATCTGTGGATGTCAGCCCAGCACCACTGCCACTGAGTGATGTGATGCTCAGCACACACCTCAGCTCCTCAGGCCTTGAAGGACACAGATGAACAGAACCATCATCCTGGAAGGCTCGTGGGCTGGATCACAATGAGCACAACTGTTCCCTCCTCATTCTCCTCCAGTGCAGGGCCAGCTGTGGTGGAAGGACAGGGGATGAACAGCATCTTCCAGTTCTCCCAGACTTGCCCCTTTAGTCATTTAAAGAGCTGGGTAGGGCAGAAACCAGAAGCTGTGGTCCTCCACATCTCCTGTGTGTGTGAGGGGAGAGCAGCCCTTGGACACCACAGCCCTGATCTTCAGGGAAGTTGTCTCTGCCATTAACTTCTTGTGCCACTGTAGGCTCATCTTGCCCATGTTCCCCACAGGAAACATGGGGAAAGCCCCATATGATGAAATAAAGTCACAGCCACTATTCTGGTGTAGCTGTAGCCCCAGGAAGCCCCAGCAATTCCAGTCATTCCATTCTGGGAAGGGCTTGAAGCCTGGAGGAGTGTGTGAATCAATAGCTTTATCTGCAAGCAATGTAGTCATTCCAAAAGCATGAATTTCAAGGCTATTTCTTTTGGGAAGAACTTGAATCCAGATCAAGACTTTTCAGATAGGATCAATTTCTAACTGCAATAAGTTACCCAAACTCCTGCCATATGTAAAAATCAGTTTTTCCTAACAAAGGATAGATGTGGGAGTCATCAAGTGCCTTCAGCAGGCAACTCCAGCCTCATGAACAACAGCCTGCCTTCCAACCAGGCTGCTCTGACAGCTGATGAACAGAGGGAAAGCTCAGTGATGGATTCCATTAAGATTTTATGTGCCACACAAAACAGACCTAATTATTTCATATCATTTGAAAGCCTGGATTCCTTGCTTTGGTAAAATGACTTCCTTTTCTGATGAGCTCCAAGATACCACTTGCTAAAAGCAGATGGCCATTGAACAGATGTGTATAGAAGGGCAGGAAAGAGTTACCCAAATGGAGGTGCTGTGAAGATCTGCACTGTCACTGCTCATCTGCCAGAAAAGATGACTCCGTGTTCACAGGAACCCAGGGGACCCAAGTGCCTTCTACATGGCACAGTCATTCCTCATCTTACTGCTTGAGAATGTTCATTCTCCTTGGGTGTTTTTATCATTGAATCAGAGACTGAAGATAAGAAATCCTGGCTTTTGAAGTGGTGTAACTTTAGAGTTTCTGGATTCCAGAGGGCGACAGTTACTGGGGAATGCAGAAGCCTTTGAACTGAACATAGTGTTTCCCATAAAATGGCTCTCCCAGTGACATGGATGATTCTTGGGGAAGGCTGCTGATGGATAAACAGGCTTCACCTCTGTCTGCCTGCAACCTGGCAAAGTGCTGACAATGTTCCACGGCTTCCTCGTTGCACCAAGACAGAAGACCTGCTGCTGTGGTTTGTGAAAGATGCCATGATGCAGCCTTGGAGGAGAAAGGAGAGGAGGCAAAGATGCAGGTTTGACCTGCATTTCTGATCTCTGTAACACTGACCTTGGTCCTCCAGCCTCCCTGTGCCTCTGAGACAAGAGCATGGAGGAGATTGGTAGGTCCCTCTGCTCACAACTTCTTCAAAGACCTTAGAGCAGCTTCAGCCAGGAACAACCTGTGTGTCCATGTGCTGTTTCCACTTTACTCTTCTGATTAGAGTCAGCAGGGACTTGGGGGGTCTTCTGGCCCCTCTGTGCCAGCTTGCAGCCCTCCTTCACCAGGTGCTAAGGGGATTCTAGCTCCCCAGCACCAACCTTTCCAATGCCAACCATCAGAAGTTTAGTGTCCTTTTTTGTTACCTGCCACCATCCTTCCTGGAGTGGATTCCATTGTTTGCAGCTGTCCAGAAGCGCAGAATATGCTTCCTGTAGATGTCCCCTCTGGCAGTCTGGAGCAAAAAGAACAGCTGAGTTCTCAAATAATTTCTTCTCCTGAAGTGGTTCATGCTTGATTTGTTGCAGATATCGACTAAATTGGCAGCTGGCCTTTTATTATTATTTTATAACAGGCTTCCCAGAAACGTGTTCCTCCTGGTCTTTTAAATTCTCAGGAAAAAAGTATTTGCTTGTAATCCCACCTCCTCCCTCCCTTTTCAATGCACTTCAGCTAGACCTTGGACAATGGTCTTCCTTTTTTTCACCAAGGAAGAACCCAGAAAGGATTTGGAGCTGCTCCAGAAATTGTGTCTTTTTTGGATTGTGTTCTTGCATAATTTTGTCCTTGATTTGAAGTAAGTTCTGCACATGGTGGTGTCAAAGGAAACCTGAACATAAAACAATCTGTGCTGTTATCCTGACTCTGCAAACAGACCACTTGGAAGCTGGATAGGAGAAGTGGGATCTGCCTCAGATATTCTACAAATTTTCTGCATAAACCTGAGAAATGACTGAACCACACACATACAGAACTGACTCCTCAGCCCCTGTAAATTAACAAGCTCCAGGCTCTCGACAGGAAGAATTTCTTGACCCTTTTCCAGACCATTTTGCTCAGAGAGGCCTTATGAGCTGGACTGGTTTCTCACCGGAACTGTAGGGAAGAGGAGAGTCTGAGTAGAGCAAATTCCAGTGCCTGCAGAAGGGATGCACACAAGCAAGTCTCAGTGCCTTGAGCTGGTCTGGGACACAGGGCAGTGGTGACTGGTTTGTTGTGTCCAGTTGAACACAGGTTTGGGATGACTGGCAGCTGCTGGTCTTGGGTCTGCTCCCTCCTGGAGCCCACTGGGTTCTTGGTACAACCCAGAGTAGCTTGAGGCTGCTCTAATCTTTTATTGCTGGTTCCATGGCCACAGGGCTGTGCTGGTGTGTGTATCACAACAGAAATGCTCTTCTTCCCAGTTAGGTCTTGGCACACATTAGGTACAGTTGGGGTCTTCCCAGCCAAACAAAGAAAGCCAAGTCTCATCATTCCACTTAAATGCTCTTCGTGACTCCTGTGTGTGATCAGAGGTGACTGGAACCCTGAGCCAGGATCTTGCATGGGATCAGCAGACTTAAACAATGCTACAGGGCAACACCCCCTTATAATTTTGGACCAGGAGTCAAGCTGAAGGATTTACAAATGCTGAGAGATAAACAGGCTTTCTGGGTTTGAGGTGACAGCACTGCATTACGTGAGGGAGTGAGGTCAGAGCACCTCAGGCGAAAAGTGTAAGTCAAAGAGAGAACAAAACCCAAAACAAAGCAAAAGAGAAAAGATCAGTTCATTTCTAAGCTAGTTGATGTATCCCAGTCACCAGTTTTAAAAATCACACGTTCACCTCCTCCATGTATACTGCTGCCTGCAGATTTTCCCAGGAAAGGGAAAGGTCATTCAGGAGGGTTAGCTATGCTGGCAGCTTTGGCATGTTTTTCCCAGAGCTCCATCCAAGGGGGTGAACATCAGGCAGATCTCCTATGGCCATGGCTCAACTCTCCTGCAGTGCCCAGAGCTGTGCCACCCCTCCCTGTGGCACTTGGTGCTCATTGCACAACCACAGGGATGTCACTTTGCCATGGATATACGAGCACTTCTGTGGGGAGGTGTTGCAACGCCCTTGGAAATGCAGAGCCCTCAGTGTTGAGCTAGGGGTGAAAATCTCCACATCCTGTTCCAAATCCCCTGAACCAGCCAGGACTCGTTCCTTGCGTTTTTCGTGCTGTTTATCTTGGGTGACGACATCAGGTGCCTTTTCAGGTTCAAGTGGCCCGTCTGTGCATCCTGCTCACTGTGTCCTGTTTAATGCACATGTAGCTGTATCAGACCCTCGAGCCCCATCAGAGTGTGGAAGCTGATCCTGCAACTCCAGGGCTCGGTGAAGACAACGGCGCAGAGCCCACGGCGCTGTTGCCCTCACCAAGCCCAGCAGTGGATGTCCCTGAGGTTTGGACTCCACTGCACAGCAAACATGCCTTGATTAGCTGCTCTGGATACGGCCTCTGCATTTATTCTGGTTGCTTTCTTTTCTTCCCATCAGTGGTTTTGTGGAGTCCAGCCTTTTGGGGCTCTCCAGAGCCTGATCATCTGGGACTGGTCAGGGGACAATGACAGAACTGTCTTCTTTTTCAGCCCTTTGCACAAAAAAGCAACATGCTTGAAACATTTTTTTTTTTCCATTTGCTTACATCAGTGCATTGTGTCCTTCTGCTACAGCTTCTCCTTATCCCATTATTTTGAAGCACCTGCTCATTCACATTCTTCTGTAACATGGATTGCTTTATGAGACCTGCCAAATTTGGCATATTATTATTAGGATCTAGGGAAGCAAAGGAAATGTACCGACCCTTGCAATATTTAGATCAACAGCTGGGCAGTAAAAGTTTTACTTCCATCAGAAACCTTATGATAATGATGTTATCAATTAATAGCAGCAAATAATAATTAACAATCATTATTGCTCTGCCCTGATAAAGGGCAAAATGTCAAAGTTTCTCAATTTTCTGAAATAAGTGCTCTGCAAACAATACAGAAATGGCTCCTTCAAACCATTTTGGTTTGTACTTTTTGAGATGCTTTATCTGGCTAATCATCTTACTGCATTTTTGTTACCATGGAAATATTTCACTGCAATTCACCCTGAACCCAAGAGCAAAACTTTGTGGATGTTTTTGAGGTCTCAAGGTCAAAGTTGAAAGAATCGGACATTTTCCAGCAACAACAGAAAACAGAATCTGGACAGAAAAATCCCTGACCACTTTTACAAATGGCATTTGCAAGTAAGTCTGAGATGTGGCAATCAGGAGCAGAGGGATGGAGTTAAACCAGGGCAGTTTTAGGGTTCTTGACTCTGGCTGGAGAAGGGACAAGGTGCTGTCTGCAAGAAGTTGGTGCAGCCTTTTCTTTCCCCAGGACTGTTCCTGCAGACACACCCTTGTCCTTTTCCCTTGGCCTTTGAGGAGAGACCCATTGGGCCTCTCTGACAGCAGTGAGGGGACAAGAAACTCCAAAGGTTATATTTGCAGGAATGGTCCACCATGTGTGTAGTCCCTGCAAGAGCTTTCCAAAGAAGGAGGGACTCTGTTTTTCTGGGAGAGCCAGACAAAATCTCTTGGCCTGGGATCAAATGTGCAGGAAGAAGGATGCCATGATCAAAGACCATCTCATGGCTCTCAACTTTGGTGAGCCTTGACTTTAGTGTATCCCTCACTGAAGGAGAGCTGCCCAGAAGCCCTTACCACTGGCAGCAGGTTCTGCATGCAGAATTCATTGCTCTTCCTGTCTGGACTGGCAGACTCTGTGCCATGCACGCTGGAAATTTCTTTCCTAGAAGTCACATCTGGAGCTACAGTGATAAATAACAAATCATCTTCACCAGCCTAGAAGTACAAGGCAGCTAAAAAGAAAGTAACCAAAAACACTGCATGGTCTCAAAGGTCTCCTGGTCACTGTTTCTGCCTGCAGCCTTCCTTATGAGGAGCCAGAACCCAGGTCCACCAGAGCAGCATTTGTGCCTCAACACTTTGCACACTAGTTTGGAAGGTGCCAGAAGGTGCTCCTGTCCATGAGGGCTTTTTTTCTGTCACTTTTCCCGGTGCTGATTCACTAGTAACTAAAGATGAAAAGCCTGAGCTGTCCTAGACACAGAGAAGACAGTTATCTCCTGCCTTCTGTCTAGAAAGCTCTTCTCCCCACCCACGCTCTGCTGCCTGCAGAGATCTGAAGATGGGCTATATGGTAGCTGTCATGGCATCAAAGCTTCTTTGACACCTTTCTGTTTTGCTTTTTCATGTGTCACCAATTTCTTTCTCCGGGTTTTTATTTCCTTCCGCCCGTTTTCACTGTTATTTTCAGTCTTTCCTTAAGGACACACAGCCTTGGTCGCGCTGGATTTCCAGCCTTGGCTCACCTCTTGCAGACGAGCAAGTTTTTAGCACCTGAGACAGTTTTAGCTTGTTTCAGACAAAGCACCCCTTTTTGGGGTGGGTGGGAGGTTTGCTTCATTCAGCAGCAGCCCTGAGGACCTTCAGTGTGCTCACAACACACGTGAAATCTCAGATCCCAGGAAAATGGGAAGCACGTTGCAAGATAAACTGGGTTCCTTTGAAGACTGTGAATAAGTTCCTGACTCTGTCAGTGGTGATGAGTAAACTTCAAAAAGGATTGGGAAGACACCTTCTATTTTGGATGCCTTCATCAAACCCCAGTGCAGTCTCTTGAAGGTTTCTCCAAAGTCCTGCTTCCCTAGGGATGTCCTTGTGAGTATGTGCCACCCAAGCTGCCTCAGGTTTGTGCTCTTTGATTGCCAGTGGGGCATCTTCTTCACTTCCCAGCACCAGCTTCCTCTGCTTCATCACAGGGAAAGTCAAGAGGCCTCATGTCTGATGGTCACTCCTTGGGCTGGGCTTTCCTTGGCAGCTGAAATGACATTGCTGGTTGTGTCTCTCCTTCCTGTGCTCCAAGATGAATGTCCAAGAATAAGAAAACAGAGGGAATTTTTCAAAGATATTTGCCTGACCAGGTAGTCAAATTTCCAGTTTCAGAAGTGACTTGGGTACTGAGAAGCTGAAGTGTCTGGCTGGGGAGCTCAGTGCTGTCCAATGCAGAGCCATGCCCTCGAGGTCACCCAGCACACTCCCACATGGACATGTCCCAAAAAACAAATGCTGTCTAACACAAAAACCAGATTTAGTCATGGGCAGTGAAGGTGCACCGGGGTTTTTTTGCACAGTGCAGGCCCCTCAAAACTGCAGTGAAATCCAGCAAGAAATCAAGTGTCAAAGCCAGGTCGGCCATTTGGGGCTTTCCAAAGCTTGCTTCTGTGAGAGGGATAGCAGGTGAAATATTCCGTGGACCTGGAAAACCCCGCCTTGAAGAACTGGGAAATGGTTCTTTAGGAAAGGACAGGTTTGAAGCTGTGGAGGTGTTGAAGTCCAGAAGGACAATAGATGGAGAGATTATGCAGCCTTTAACTGGCTATGTCTTCTCCTTGGATCATGCAGGATTCAGAGGTGCATCTTTACACCTTGCCCTGCCTCATGCTCAGCCATCTGGTGCCTCCTCAAGCCCATTCCAGACCTCAGCTGGGTCTCACCTCTCCCATTTGGGAGTGTGTATCCCTGCAGGCCTGACTGGTGGGCTGGTGTACCCCTGGTCTGTACATCTGAGACCCCCCAGTGCTCCCTCCCATCTCCTGACCCAGATCAGTTTGTGTCCACCATGAGGTACAACTTCTAAAAATCAAGGTGTTCTGCACACAACCTGAACCTGGGCTTGGGCCTGGATCTGCCCTGCTCCATCCCACCACATGGACAGGTTGCCTGACACTGTGTCAAGGCTGCCCTGGCCTCTTGCTGTGCTTCACAGTCCAGGGGCTGAGCCACTGACATCAGACTTGGCCTCTGCTCCATGTGCTCTTTGCTGAGGTGTCTTTCAGTCCCTTCCTTGTTGACCAGTTGCAGAGCACTGAGGGACAGCACTGAGGGACAGCGAGACCTTGTGGGTGACAGCTGAGACCCAGGAAGGTCTGACGTGTACAAGGTGCAGAGTCTGCAGCTCCACTTACCCTGGGAAGCTGGAAAACAGGTGTTAGGATGCTATGAAGAGAAAACCCTCTTAAGCTCAGAGGAGGGAGAGGCTGGTTGAGAAGGGAGTGAGTTGTGGGACAGGCAGGTGAGAGCTGGGACTTGAAGAAAGCTGGGGATGCTTTGCAGGACTCTCCAAGGAATCCAGAAGAAAAGATGTGAAGTGAGGGAGAGAGACAAGTGCCTGGGGGAGAAGTGTTTGACCACCCAAGGCTGGGCTCCCACTGCATCCCAGCTTCACCTGCAGCTGTGGTGGGACACGACACAGAGGCTGCTGGTGCTACTGCACCTTCCTGGACCCTGCCCATGTCCCTGGGCTCCCAAAACATGGCTCAGCTGGGGGGATACTCATGGGCTGCTGCCTGTGCCTGGTGTCCTTCATCTGCAGGGCACCTTCCCTGCCAGTACAGCATCATTCCAGTGTGGAACTGGTGGCCATGAGCTGGCACATCCTGACCCACACTGGCTGGGATACCCTGAGAGAGCCTCGCAGCTGGACAGCATGTGACACCTCTTTGGCTCAGCTTTCTTCTCTGTCCCTTTCTCTCTGTTAACACAGAGACTCTGCACATGCTTTCTCTCTAACTGCCATGTAACCCTTTTTCCCTGGAACACCCCTGGATATTTCTGGGGTGCTAACAGGGACACACTTTCCATACCCAACGCTCGCTGTCGCCTGAGCAGCCACTCACTGCTCTGTGGTGCCTCTTGTCAGTCTTGTCTAGAGAGCAGCTCCTTGGAGTCTCTGAAAGCAGCATCCAGCCCATCTCAATCTTCCTGCCAGCTGGTGCTTCTGGCAGGTGAGAAGGAAGGAGGCAGGCAGAGCAGGACAGGGCAGAAGGGTTTGGTGCCTGCTTGAAGGCCCAGGTCAAAGCCAGAGCTGGAATACTGATGTTTGCAGGTGCCTGGTTAAAGCAAAGCAAAGACTAAATACACCTGTAAAGCCTTTATTTTTTTTCCATTCATCACAATGCACTTTTTTTTTTTTATTTCTGACCTCAAGAACTGTGCCAGACATGTTCTGTGATTTCTCCCCTTTTCCCCTCCAGATGTCCAAACGGATTCTTCGGACAGAGATGTTTGGAGAAACTGCCTTTGCGATTGTACATGCCAGATCCTAAGCAAAGTATGTTTGAAGACAAAAAATGCACCACACTCCTTAAAACCTCCCGGGCACAGCGGTGGATGTAGAATGGTCTAGTCAGGGATGGCTGTTGGTGTCAGCTTTGGGCTAGGGCTTAGGGCTGCAGGTAAGGGTGAAGGCTGAGAGCAGATGGATAGAAGCCACGCAAGGGACCTGAAGGGGCCTCAGTTCAGCCTGTTTGGGTGTCATTTTGCTATCTTGTTTCTCTCTTTCTGGTTTTCTCTCTTCCGGTAGGTGTCCGATCGAATTCACAGGAGACCGGTGTCAGCATTTCGCAATGGTCAGCTTCTCCAGTATGTCTCTTTCTACTTCTCTCTCTCCCTCGTTGTTGTAGCTCTGTGTCATGTCCTTAAAGCAGGTTCTTCTGTTCTCCAAGAGCCCTCTCCCTGCCTTGTGCGCTCCCAGCTCTGCTTGGCCCCAAGAGGAGCTGTGACCGTGGCCAAGAGGAGAACTGGGGGCTCTTGTTGTCTCCCTGTTTGTTGGAATGGGCTCTGCTTTCATTTCTGATTGAACTGAACGCTGCTTGCTCTTCTCAGGCAAAAGGCAAACGAGGCCCAGGGTTATGTGGTGGGTGTGCTGTGTGAGACAAGCTGTGTGTGGAGCTGTGCCTGCCAGCACTGCTGTCCCGAGACACTGTGCTGGGCAGGGCAGGAGATGTGTATTTTCCTGTCACTCTTTGGGGATGGCAAGTGAGTCTCCTCGTACCAACGGAGGGAATCACAGCGAGGGTGTGACTGTAATGAAATCACTTCACAGTCTGTGACCCAGAGGTTACACTGGTGGCTGCCACTGCCTCAGGGCTTCCCACGCCTCAGTGTCACGCAGGATACAGGCTAAACCTGCCAGCTGGGCATGTCAGGGAGTTCTCCATCCCTCTTGGACATGGAGATGTTCCTGTCTCTCCCAGGGGGTTGGTCAGCCTTGCATGCTGGGTTGTGTCTCACTGCAGTGACCAATACCTTAACATATTCAACAGCTGTAAAGAGCCTTTGCACTTAATGCTCTCCAGTTTCTGGTTTCCCATTCCTACAGGTCTCATAGACATCATCAGCTCATTTTGCTCAAGGTGGATAATTTTTCCGGGTCCTTATTCAGCCAGTGTCCCAGCATCAGTGGGATCCTGGTCTGGGTAAGGACTGACCTGAAAGGAGACACAGTTATAGTGCAGGAAATCAGCCACGGTGATCCTGGCTGTGCCCCATCCTGTGACCCTCCCTGTAACCCATCCTGTCTCCATGCTGGCCACTAGGACCACCACAAGTGGTGGGTTTAAAAAGAGGCTTTTCAAAAAGAGCCACGAAAGAGGCTTTAATTAGTGGGAACAAGAAGAGAAATGCCTCTTCAGGATAACTCCTTGATTGCCAGTACCCCTCTCCCACCGCTCTGTGAGGAATCCTGCAGTTCCCATCCTGAACTGGCAGTAGCAGGAGTCTCATTAGCACGTGTTAATAGCTGGCAAGTGCTCAAATTAAACTCCCTTCCGTGGAGCATACAGACAAATGCAAATGGACTTCACGAGGCCCTTGGGACAGCTCGATGTTTTTACGTTTCCTTTTGTTCCAAATTGGCCTCCGAAGCTGAAACCTCCATTGATTTATCCTCCCAGGCTCCAACATCCAAGCAAGCTCTCTCTAAAATGACAAAACAAAATGTTCTGGTTTGATCTTTCACGTGATGCAGAAGGGTTTCTTCCCACTTGGAAGTCTTTGGTGTCAGGGCCCCTGGCTGCAAACACCAGTGGGATGCTCACTTGGTGAACTGATTTGTGTCATGTTTCATAAGGTGGTGTCCAACAGGCTTAAACATTATTGCTACCATGCTACAAAACCAAAACTGGGGGGGAAATGAGTTTTATGTCAGGAAAATGCCTTTTTCAGAGCATTCATTGCAGGAGTAAACTGTGTGGTTTGTTGTTTTTTTTTCTCAGCCTGCAGGATCCAGCTTTTTATGGGGCTGAGATTTGTTTTAATTTTATTCACGTGTCAAAGGAACAATGCCAGCTTTAAAACTGACACGTGTACATTTCCTACCTCAACTCTGCTTTAACCACAGCATAGTAAGGTAAAACCAGCTTAACAATCCAGGCTACCTGTCTGAACTTGGACAAAATTCACGTAAGAAGATGATTCATATGTGTTTATAGCTGTTTTCACTTTCAGGTCACAGTTGGGTAATATAAGTGGAGGCAGCACTGCAGAAAATCTTGCACTGAACTTGCTGATTTTCTGAATAGGAAAGGCATTTCACTCGAGTGTGGACCCTGCAAATGCTTACCTTCTACTTTAATCAATAATCTGGGCACAGTAGAAGTTGCTGTTGTTCTGTAATTTGCTCAGTGCTTCATCCCACATGGGTTCTGACAGGTCAAAAGCCAAAACAGATTAAATGAGGTTCAGGCATTTCCACTGGAAATAAAATAGCTCTGTCCTGATTCATGATTTGATAACACTGCCAGCGTTTGACAGATACTTAAATAGTAAATAAGGACACCTACATTGCTGGTGTTTTAAATGTATTTGGGGTATTTTAGGTTTCCAGGCCTAGATTGGAACCTTCTGATTCGTTAATATAAATAATAAATATTTAAATTACTTTTAGTAGGTATATCCCAGGGCTGAGGGAGAGTTTGCAGTGAGCTAAATTGCAGACACTGTTCTGAAAAGGTGTGGCAGATACTTTGCTGAATTTGGGCCACAGATGGAGATGGTGCAGCATCCCAGCATCATGCCAGATGTTGTGTACTTTCCTTTTGGGAGCAGCTTCCTATCTCTCCAATTTAAACCCTTATTCAGATTTTGCTCATGTGAAACTCCCCATGTTCTTCATGACTTCAGGCTGTCTTTGTCTGTTTGACAGGTAGGTCTGGAGGTTTGCTTTGATTTGATTGCCCAAAACACCTGCTAGACGACTGCAGTCATTAAGATGAAAATTGGGTGTATTTAGATAGGTTTTCTTGCATGTGATATTTCTCTATGTCACTGTTACAACCCTATGAGCAGGTACCCACTGCCAGCCCTTCTGGGTATGTACCCCACTGCTTGAAAATGAAGAGGAAATGTTAAACTTGGAGATTTTTTTCCATGTCACGCTCACACTGTTGCTGTTTTCTGACAGATTGGTACAGAGGAACTCATTAGGAGTTGTATTATTGTGCTCGGAGACCCCCCAGCCAGTCCCGACTCAGCCCTGGTTTGGATGAATAGTTTGCTTTTGGTAGGAATTTGCAACAGCAGGATTCAAGCAAGTGATTCAAGTCAGCAGGTGGTTCCTGTTCAGCTTATGACTTCACATTTTAGCTTGGGAATGTGTTGAGATATCGCAGAAAAAAAGTGAAGCATTCTAAAACAGCCACTTACCTGGGAAAATGGATGCAAAGTGCAAACAGACACCACAGCTCTGACCCAGCCAGGTGCCACTTCTGAGCAGAGCTGTGGTACCTGGCTGTGTCAGCTCTCTGAGCCTGCCTTTAGGCTGAGCCTGAGTTAGTCTGAGCCACCCTGAGGGTCTGTTTCTGAGCAAGGCTCACACTGCCAGGAGGTCTGAGGCAGTGTGGCTTTTCTGTGCTGCAGTGGCAAGGGTTGAGCTGCCACCAGTGATGGACAACAACCCAAAGCAGATGAGGGCCCTGAGACACTGAGGCATAGCAACCCCACATCCAGGGAAACTTGAAGCTGTGTCCTGTTTATCATAGGTCAGCTGTAGGGCAGTGGGGACAAAAGGCTTTCCCAGAGTCATCGAAACAGAAAACCTACCAGCAGAAGGAAGGGGAGATGTCAGAGCAAACAACTGCTCACTCACTCCGATTAAAATAGTTGGAAGGCACATATCTGAGAAGAAAAAGATGTCCTGACTTAGGATGTGCTGACTTTAGCCTGTCTAGATGCCTTTTGTCAGTATGAAATGTCACTGATCTCAGCGGGTCTCTGTGCACGCTCCTCCACCCACACATGAGGAATTGGCTGATGGATCAGGGTTAGGAGATCGTGTTGTTTAGCTTTTAACTAACCTGTGAGAAGAGAGCCTTATGGAGGCTACACAATATAACTGAGGGACATTAAATCAACATTTAATTGTAGCAGCAATTGTAATGTAGACTGAAGGAGAATTAATGGCATTGAACTGAGAGAACAGTGATTGTCTGCAATTTCTACACAAAAGAGAGGAATGACCTGGTAGATGAGAAGAGAGAGAATTATTTCCATGGTGATGAGTCATTAAATCCTCTTGCTAATATGTTTTTCACATCAAGGTCTTCAAATTTCTATGTCTCCACAGACAAACTCATGGGTGTAGCTGTTAGGTGGCTCCTGGTACTGTGGTACAGGTACCTGCAGGGTCACAGGTCACAGGTGTCTCTGTCTGGCTGTCCATGCATTAGTGAGAACAGAACACATCAAATTCTTGATCCACAGCCAGAATGAATCCATAGCACAGGTACCCATGGACCATTAAGCCTCTGCAGCCAGATTTTCCTCTCTGCTGGCACACCTGGGTGAAAAGTTTAGCAACATCCAAAAGAATCAGAAATTTCTTCTGTGAGCTTCTAGTGGGTGCTGGAGACTCACCCAGTGGACAGTTGTCTCCTTCATAGGCACAGCCATGGCTGGCAGCTCTTCCCAGAAGACACAAGCCTGTCCAAATTCATCCTTCCTTCTAAGAAACTTTTTTTTTAAAGCTTGTGCTGGCACCTTGTATTTCATAGCTACCTGGTTTACATCAGATCGAGATCTAGCTCTATATTCTCTCTTCTACAAGCAGCTTTTCAGGTCTCTGTAAAATCCTCCTGGAATTTTACTAATAAATTGCCAGGCTTTGGGCTGGCTGGTTTTAAAGATTTCATGAAACACATTGGCAGCTATTTCACTCCTGGTGGGGCTGAGATACTGAAAGTTAAACGTGCTCAGCAGGAACATTTATACATTTCCTAAGTCTGCACATTCGGATTCTTTCCATTTGTGATTTATGGAACAAGTTAGAAATTTGGGGTAAAGTTTTCTATTTATGCTTGCCTCTTGTCTGTGGAAACCCAAACTTCATCTTAACTTTGCTGTTTATTCACATCCCCAAATAATCATCACCAATCTGGAGAACAAATGTCATAGCATTCATCATCTTGGTTAGTGAAACATTTCCATTTTCTACTTTGTGACCCAATTAAAGTTGCAGTATGTAGCCACCCTAGAATAGAGCTGACAGTCACATACAATGTCATCTAGCATATTCTTCATTTTTACCCCATATTTAATTGTGGTTTCTTTATAAATTGATTTTCAATTCATAGGTGGAGTTTTCCTACTGGTCTACTTGGAAGCAAAGAGCAGGATTTCCAGATATCCATTGGCAGAGCAGCTTTCTTTCCAACCTGTTCCCACTACTGGCTCCATTGCTTCTGGCTGAACTAGCATGGAAGTGGAGCAGTGTAGGTTTATTGGGTGAGAAGGATGATCCCTTGCACTCAGAAGTCACTGGCTGCAGCCAGAGGAGTGTTGGTCAGGTCATCACCCTGACATGGAGAAGTGACCCTTCTGGTGGGTGGGGTTTGGAAACCTTGCTCCTGATGCTGAGGTAAAGTGTCCTCATGAGCAGAGGGATAAATGAACCACTTCAAGTTCTTCTGGGAAGGTCTTGATCTTAATTTTAGCTTCTCTTTTCACTTCCTTTTTTTCAGTAGTAGTGTTCTACCTGCTGTGATTTCAATAAGCAAAAGAATACTTTATTTTACCTACCTTTCTGCTTCTTCCTCCACCTCTTACTCATCTGACCCGCAAACCAATATTTAGCAGCATTTTAAATTCCACAGACATTCTGCAGCTTCCTTTCATTGACATTATAACTGCTGACCACTGAATTACAGGGTGATGGTTATGCTTGGTGTGGCTGGGTAATTACAGAGTGTTTGTGGTTTTTCATAACAGGGTGATTCCTCTCCCCTGGAAGCAGTACAGGTTGCCCTTTGGGATGTCCTAAAGTTAATTGCATGCTCATCCACAGAAGATTTTGAATACCCTGTTGTTGTGTATCTGGATTTTTGAGGCCAACCAAATGATTTTTATTGTTACAGTACTGGACAAGCTAAATGTCTGTGGAGTTTAGGGAAAGTTTACAGACTTTCTTTGCTTGAAGATTCCATGTATTGCCCAGTTATTAGCACAGGCACAGGGTCCTCTTCTCCATCTTGTCCCACTGTCCTGCATTGCTCCCTGTATCCACTGGGAGAAACCTGGATCAGGGTCCTGCAAATGCTACTCTTGTCAGTACAACTGATTATCAATAAAATTATTATCAATTTATTTTCTTGCTGGCCCTCAGAAGTCAATTCTCCACTTTGTTTCATGCCTTGGAGCATGCTCTGTGTTCCAGAGAGCGTGTTTGGGGGGAATAATGCACAGTAACTAAACATCTTATCAACATTCTTGGACAACCTGAAGTCCAAGTGAGCACGGGCCCACTTTTCAGAGCTGTTTGCTGAGGATCTTATCCTTCCTAATCATCCTACAAATCTACAGCTCAATGAGAATCATCTCGCTTGCGGCGTTACTCCTACAAGAATATTTTAGATTAAATGTTTTTCGTCTGTCCATCTTTTAAAATAAGTAAAATACGTCATAGACAAAACCTTAGTCACAAAGGCACTGCAGGTGAGGTGAATGTAGGACTTTGCCTTTTGTCTGATGGTGAGAAACAGCATTGTCAGTTTGTCTCTGCTGCTGGGATTCATCCATTTCATTTTAGCCATCCCAAAGGCTCCCTCTGCCACGAGCCTGGGGTGCAGTAACACCTCCCCACTGCGTGGGGGGAATCCCTGTCTGGAGGGGCTGGAGGACCTGCCTGGACCTCCTGCTTCCTGCTGGGGGGTTAAGGGCTGCAGAGGGGACTGTTGCCCAAAGGTTTCTGGGCACCCCTGAATAGATCTGTCAGAGGCCACCAAGTTGATCAGAGGGATGGACCAGCTCTGCTATGAGGAAAGGCTGAGAGAATTGGGATTGTTCAGTCTGGAGAAGAGAAGCTTTGGGGTGGCCTTCCAGGACCTGAAAGGAGCCTGCAAGAAAGATGGAGAGAGACAATTTACAAGGGCCTGGAGTGACAGGACAAGGGGGCTTCAAACTGGAAGTGTCCAAGGCCAGGTTGGGCAGGGCTTGGAGCAACCTGGGATAGTGAAAGTTGTCCCTGCCCACGGCAGGGGGTTGGAATGAGATGATTTTTAAGGCCCCTTCCAACTCAGGTGATTTCATGACTATATGATCATGCTGAGCATCCTCTCCACCTAGTAGAAAATATTACCCAAAGCTTTTAAGGATATATTGCTCTTCCTTATAAACATCTTAGAACAGTAAAAGAGACTTCTTTCAACCATGGTACCCAGTCAAGAAAATTTTTTTTGCTCCAATCAAAAACAAGTTGTTGTCTCCAGGAGAAATTTTGATTTCTCAAACATATTTGGTACCAGTTAGAATGCTGTTGATATGAAATCAGCACACACTGTGTGGTAAACCACATTTGTGAAGATGATGCCCCTCTGCTGAATGCAGAGCTGGGGCCACCTCATTAGCCTCTGTCTGGATTGCAAAGTGCTGAATTATTTTGAACAGTCTCTTCTTTAGAGAATACAAACCCTCCAAATCCCAGCCTGATCTTGAGGTGTCTCCTCCTTCACCATCCCAGCAGGGAAGGCAATACCTGCCCATGCTGGGAAGAGCTCTGAGGGATGGGAAGGGGGGAGTGACTCCCTGCTTGATGTGTTCAGTTATGGGTGATAGAGAAGCAATGTCTGTGTCCTGAAGTGATGCTGGAGAAGGGTTGAGTAGCCATGGAATCAGATACAGGAGCACAGGCTGGGGAAAGGCTTCCTCCACCTGCAGAGCTGCTGGGGGGTTTGCAGGCACAGGGAGGCAGGTACACTCCAGCTGCTGTGGGGTTGCATGGTTTCTCTCCTGCTCAGGGAGCCTGTAGCTGAGACCCAGGGATCTCAGCTGTGTCTGAGCTTGGGGAGCCAAAAGAAAGACAGTTGTCATGTGAGAGGGACAATGGGAAGGCTCAAGCTCCTCAGGCAAAAAAATCATGAAAATGTTTTGAATTGCATCCATTTGTATCTGCAGATGTTGCAGCAAATCCTGGGACAGGGAGGAAATGTGGCAAGATAGGCAGTATGCAGCTATCAGATGGACCATCAGCTTAGATTTATGGCTGAAATTTGATGTATCTCTACATGCATTTGTCAGTGTCAGGGGAAACAGTGTGTGCAATGATAGAATTACTCAGGAATAGGTTAGGGCTGGATGTGATAACCAAGAGGTTTAGAATGAATATTCTGCCCAGTTCTCTGCTGCCCACCACATTATGTCCATGTCACTGCAACTTGTACAAAATGCCTGTGAAATGCACTCTGGAGGGTTGTTTTTAGAGTTTTTAAGAGTTTTTTCCATATGTGAGATGTGAAACAGAGAGCAGCCAGGTTTTGTGGCCTTTAAATCATACAAAATTTTAAAAAGCCACTCAGCTCCCCCCCCCAAAAAAACCCCAAACATCAGCATTGATTTGAAGAGAAGAACCTGCTTTAGAACACGTGTTTACATGTCCATAATGATTAGTGCTAATTCCCCCCTCCCCGCCTAAATTTTGAACAGCATTGCAAAAGAAAGCCAATATTTCTGTGCAGCACAAAGCAGTTCCTATGGAAAACATAGTAACTAAATCTGGACATCACCAAGCTGCAAATAATCTTGTGTGTATGGTGCTTGGGAGCAGCAGAGCTCACTTTTGTGTACAGCGGTAAGTATGGAGAACTTTAATGTTTGTGTAAGAAAAACTGTCTTTAGGAGAGGTCTGTAGCAGGAAAACGACTAAAATCCAGGATAGCTGTTTTTGGATAACTGTGTGGTTGATTTTTTTGGGGTAAACTCCTGTGCTTGGCACTGCCCCTGCAAGATGAACTGCAATCTCCCACTTGTTACGAATGTTAATCTGAAAGCAGGTGCTGCAATCTGGGCTTTTTTGCAGCGTGCTTGCGTTTCTAAAACAACGCAGAACCACAGCAGAAGTGAAATTGGGAAGACCAGAGGCTTCAGGGAAACTTGCAGTGCAATTTTGCACTTTCAGACCTGCGAGGGACTCCTTGCCTTGCCCGGGCAGCTCGTCCCTGGCAGCGCCGGCGGGTCGAGGCAGCCCCGAGCTGCCCAGAGCGGTGCTGGCACCACTGACACACCACCAGGAGATGGGCAGGCCCTGTGCCCGCTGACACTGTGCACCCCAGGCCAGACTGGGCAGCAGAATGGGGCTGGCAAAGCCTGGGGGCCCTGGGCACACCCCACACATCTGTGTCCCTTTGGTGCTCAGCCCCTGGGCACAGAGGGGCGTGGGAACCCGGGCAGGGCAGATCTGGCCTGTAGAGAGGGAAGGAATGGGTTTTTCCCAGGTTCCTGCAGTCTCTATGTGTTTTGACCTGTCAGGAGTTGTTTCAGAACAAGTGTACCTTTCCTTTTTTTTTTTTTTTTCCTTCCCCCTGCCTAAACTGTGAATTCCATATCAGGTACTAACAAACATGGCTCATCTCAAAAGAATTCATAATTAACTGAAAGAATTCATAATGAACTTCCACTGCAATTTGTTTGGGTCTTTCTTTGCATAACATGGTGGGGGTTTGAAATGCTCTGAAGCATACAGTGTCTGTGTGACTGCTGCTGAGCCTACCAAAAGCTAACCTGCTGTAACTGCACGGTGTGTGTGTTTGTATTTTAGAGTTCTCTGACAGACCTGTTTTTCTTTTTCTCTTTCTCTTCCTTGTCTTCTTTCTGCATTGGCAGAGCATCTTGGATTTGAATTAAAGGGTATGGAACAACCATTCATTTATTAATCAGAAGCCATTAAGAGCTTCCCACATTATATTTATGGCTTTAATGGGATGATTAAAAAATCAGCTGTTCTGTTCACTTCCCTGGCACCAACATAGATGTTTGGATTGGGAAAAAAAAAAACAACAAAAAAAAGCAAAACAAAACCAAAAACAAAGCAAATCACAAATTCTAAATGTAAACCTATAAAAAAAATGTGTATTTATTTTTAGCAGCACTTTTTTCTTTGTTCCAAGCAGCAACCTGGCGTGTGTGGCGTGACTGGGATGTTACAATTGCCATACATCTCCATTCAACACCTTTTTGTGTATTTAACTGAAAAGCAGGAGTTTGTGTCCATCCAAAAAGTTGCCAGCAGGGGCAGGCATTCCTGGAACAGGAAGGCAAATTTTGGGAAGATCAAGGCTCCTATAGAAATTGCCATTCCACAAGCAATAACCTCCACTGGATCCTATGAAGGGTCAGGATGAGCTTTGCCATTCCTCCTCCCAAATTTTAGTGGCTCATTCCTGGTTCTTAACTGGGAGGAAACTGTTCCAAAAAAGATGGCATGAGATGAGTTAGTCTAGAAAATTAGATCCCAGGGAAGTCATTAGTTCCCCATGAAAGTGGAGGGTGTAATGCTGAGCACCAAGGTGGCAAGCTTGGAAAAACACTGCAGAAACTTAAATGATGTAAAAATATCCCCTTTGGGCATTTACCCACTCCTGCTCAGCTGCTCATAACCACATTATTTTCCTTCCATTCTCCTCAAGTCTTTTTTTAGAAGTAAATCAAGTTACCTTTTGAGTAAGCAGTTGGGAAATCAAATCCTTGAGGTGAGGTTTCCCTGGAGTGTACAAGCCAAAGAACAGGGAGGGCTGGTCAGATGAGAGTAGAGAGATTGGGCAACCTGGTCTGGTGGAAGGTGCCCCAGGGGGTTGGAATGAGATGAACTTTAAGGTCCCTTCCAACCTAAACCATTCTATGATTCTGTGATGATTCTGTGATTTATCACTTAACTTAAAATCATTGATCCAACAGCGTCATCCAGAGCAGATCTTCATACGAAGATGCTTCCATTCCATTTGCTGGAGATATGGGGACACCAGTCTTTCACTTCTGGATCCTAAATTGCCCTCTCAGGCCCCTGAGGTGGAGGGACATGCACTAGCTGAAGCTGGAGATGCTTATCTCCTCTAGTTTTTGCATGCCTGATCCCCCAGGACTGGTGACAGTTCCCCCCCCACTGCAGAAAACACGTGAACTTTACGGTCAGGTGTCTCAGAGAAAGCGGTGCTGCTAACACTAATACACTTAAACCAACTTTGAAATCGAGGATTTTTGACATCCCTTTTTTGTTGACCTCTTGTCCTTTTCCTCACCCATTCTCGATGTCATCACAGAACCGCACACATCCTGTTCCCAGTCTGCAGTCGTCTCTTCTCTGTCATTCGTCTGTCACTGTCATGCCTTGCTGTGACCCCATGGCTGGACTGTGATTCTGTCGGCATTGTGTGGCACCACATGGTTTGTTCATAGTGTTTGCTGCTGTAGAGTGACGATGCTGCTGATGAAGACGTGGTGTTTGTAGAGCGTAGAGACACAAATGGACAAGTCCTGCTCCAGGATCTTACCTGCTCAAATACAGAACTGTAGTGTGCACTCTCTTATTTTCTGTCTGTCGCTGTCGAGGCGGTTTTGGGCAACGTGAAGGTGCTGTTATAGAGCGTCAGCTTTAATGAGATGTTGGGAGCCAACCTGAATTACTATCAGCAGTCCATTCAATTTTTAGTTTGCAGCAGTGATGCACAGCCTCACACTTCACTGCTTCACGCAGCAGAGCTGTCAGCTCAAGACAGAGAGGCTGAATCTGCATTTCTGATGAACTGAAACAGTCCCTGTGCAGTTCAGGTGAAGGTTCAGCACAGTCAAACATGTCAGAGTCAGGGTCCCATATTGACATGATCACCAGAACAGAGACTGGGATTTGAGCCTTGGGTGAAGAATTTTGTCATGTAATAGGCAAAAAAAAAAAAAACAAAAAACCCAACAAAACCACAAGAAACCATAGCTTTGATGACTTTGCTCTTTATTTCTCCTCCATGATTCAAAGGTTTTGTGCTTAGGAAAAAAGTCGTTGTAGCAAAATATATTGCTGGTGAAGAATCTTTGGAAGAATTGGCTTGATGGATGAGTCCGTGGTCAAAACAGACCTCCTGTCCAGCCTCTTTTTTTTGTTAAAGCAGTTTTTGCTGGGTAGTAGCAAAATTCTTGCCCAGTGCCATCCGTAACCAGGACGTGACCCTACCTGGTTTTCCTAATTCATACAAAATCTCTGAAATTCCTGTCAGAAGGAAAGAGCTGTACTGGTAGAATCCCAGTCCCAGGGGTGTGCAAGAGCAAGAAAACTTGTCTGCCATGGTTGCTGATGCCTGCAATAGGGCACCTATATAAGGGAAGCATGTCACTGAAGGAGATGTTTCACCCCAGAGTGGGTCCTTTCCCCATTCCAGTTCCACCTGGTTCATTACAGGGAAAATAACCACAAGCAAGCTCTGTTTTGCATCTTCGTGCCAGGGCTGTCATTCTCAGCCCTTGTTCACCAAACCTTTCTCCACTCCCATTTTGAGACTTATAAAGAGGTGAACATTTTTCCTAATGCTTTTTTTTTTTCTTCCAAAAATGCTTTTTCCTTCCTAACATGGCAGGTTGGAATTGTTCTAAATATTCAGTCACCTGGGAGGTTTCATTGCTTTCCCCCTCAATTTTTTTGCTAAAAATCTGGTCCCAGATCTAGACCTGTTTCTCTTCTGGTTTTGTATTTGAGTCTTTGGTAGCACTGGGTGTTTCACAAAATCCATGCAAGGTACTTTGAGTGGTGTGGTGAAGCACAGCAACCATGGCATGACTCTTACTGACTAATCTGTATGAAATAAATATTTCAATGAATATTAAAGAAGGCACAAACCCCGATAACCTGAACATTAACACATAGTGTGGGGGCATGAGGACATCCTTCTTAGGTCCTGAACTGAAACACCCATGGCAACTGTGCACTGAATCCTTCTCCAGTCATCCAACTGGAGAACCAAATTGCTGGATGCCACCGAGAAGAGCATCTACTCTGGTGTAGCCACAGAGGAAGAGGTGTCCTTTCCATGGGATCACTGCCTAGGTGTAGCTCAGTTACGCTCCAAGTGATACCCAGGCATTTCCTGGGAGCTTTGATTGACGGGGATGAATTACCTCACTTCCAGCATGGTCTGGCTTTTGACGCAAGTGACTTTTCTGGTTTGAAAGGTGGCCCATGACACAGGGTGACATTTGAGAGAAGCAGCAGCAAGCTGCTTGTATTTTGTGTGTGTGCCTCTGAGCTACCTGGTGCAATGGAATGAATCGCTTCCTAGGGTTCCATTAAAATTCCATCACTGGTTACTGTATTTTAATTAGTCCACTCCCTTTTCTTTGTCGAACGCGCTGTCACTTTTCCATCCTCATGCTGCTTTTTGACTGTTCTAGGATGTCCCTTTCAGCACCTACATGCTTTGGGGCCTGTTGCTCAGTGGTTCTAGGACACCACCGAGCTCCAGGGCATGCAGCAGCTGCAAGGCAAAGGCATTCTGAGCCCGTCAGAGCAGAGCCTGTGATCAGGGCATCACGGGGCACGTGTGCTCGTGGTGAGTGGGGGGTGCTCGGGGGCTTCCTTGGCAGGTGACTAAGGCACCACAAAGGGGGGAACTGCTGGAAGGGAGAGGAGAGTCGTGGGGCTCCTTGAGATTAGCCACTGTGGGAGAAGAAGGGCAAGTGAGAAGTGTGAGTGCAGAAGGGGTGAGCTACCGAGTGAGAGAGGGCCAGGGTACAGGGAGACAAAAGGAGTGAAGGTCTTGTGAGGGGTGAGTAAGGTTGGACCAGCTGGGCTCAGGTTTGGGGCAGCTCTTAGACGGGCAGTGGATTGGTAGGAGGTGTGCCCGAGCCCTGTCCTCTGTCTTACCCACACACAGTGCTGGTTCCTGTGCAGCCAGAGGCACCCCTGGTGTTGGACCCCATTTGTAACTGGATCCTTTCTCTCCATTTGCAGAAGCAGAAGAGCTCTACCAGAAGAGAGTTTTAACCATCACGGGAATCTGTGTTGCCTTGCTTGTGGTGGGCATCGTCTGTGTGGTAGCTTACTGTAAAACCAAGTGAGTATGGGTGGCTGGCAGACAAGAACTGGCCAAAGGTTAGTGAGTGGCAGTGTTCATGCTTCACACTCTCCTGCTTTTCACCCAAATGCTATTTTAAGGAGATGCTCTGCTGTGGTGTTCCCAGGAAGGTCTCATGCAGGAGGCCAGTGAAGCCATTCCCAGGCTGTGCCTGAGCAGAATGCTTTCCTGGGACCATCTGCTTATCCTCTGAAACAGCACCATTTTGCCCAGCCAGGTGATGCTGTGTCACTGGGAAAAGCTGGCCCCAAGCCAGTGGCTCACCTTTTGACAGCAGGAGCACACTGGTCTGTTGTGCAGGAGTTGTGGGCTCAGCTGTGTACATTCCAGGGACTTTTGGAGCGATTTTGATTTAACAAGAGGCTTGGTAACTTCTTTTATGGCCAACCTTTCCTGCCTGGACAGCACCTTTCTCCCTACTTAGCCTGCACCTCATCTCAGTTCAGGGTGCCCCTGGGACATGGTGTCCTGCCAGGGGCATGGGTTGGCTTTGCCACTTTGTCCCTCATGCAGGACAGGTCAAGTGCCTTTCCACCAAGGCCAAGCCAGGACTTGTTCCCCCTTTTCTTCTCCTCACCTTTCTCCTTCTCCCCAGCACCATAGTGTCCCTGCCTCTGCTGCATTGGGATGGACCTTATCTTGAAAAAGGGACCCTGGATCCAGCTTCTCAAATTGCCCATGATAACAGAAGTTCACCTTTTGTTTGGAAAAGCAGCAGAACGTGTCAAGTGTTGAATGCCTTGTTCCTTCTTGTTTGCAACTTCCCACAAACACCATGGGAACATCCATGTGTTCAAGACTTGCCTCCTCTACTGTCTGTGGGGGCAGAGAGCCCCACCAGAGAAGTCTTCCTAATAGATTTTCTTTTTCCTCTTCTGTTTTAAAGGAAGCAAAGGAAACAAATGCATAATCACTTGCGGCAGAACATGTGCCCTGCCCATCAGAACCGGAGCCTTGCGAACGGGCCGAGCCATCCACGTTTGGATCCCGAGGAAATCCAGATGGCCGATGTAAGACCCTCTGTCTCCGTCTCCCTGCAGGCTGTTTTCCACCAGGGGTTTGGCGTGGGTGTGGGTGTGTGCTTACACATCTGTGTGCAAGCCCATGAGGAGCAAAACACTAACAAACCCGAGCAAAGAGATGAGATTCCACATAAAAACATTTCCGAAACCAACATCTGAAGGAAAATGTGATTTTACTTTGAAGTACGGGATGAGATTTGGGCACTCAGGACAGGCTTGTTTTGATGAATCAAGTGTGACCCTGATTTCCACTAAGAGAGACGTTCCCAAAGTTTTCTGTTTATTAAGCTATCCCGTCAAGTCCCACTTTGTGGGATGACAAATGGGATCGGCGGGGCAGTGACCAGAGCTGACGTGGTGACCACGTTGTGCTGAAGCAGGTCATGGTCATCTGGTCAGCACTCCATCAGCCCACGTGCCCTTGCCAGGAGTTGTGTCCTGGGCAAGGTGGGATGACCTGATGGGGTGCCAGTGTCAGACCAAAGAGAATGATTTAAGTCTTTAGGACTGGATCCAGAAGGACAGTTCGGCCACTCCTGTGACTTCAGTCAAACCTCATAAACTCAATGGCTTTAAGTGCCTTGCTGGCCCAAGGCCTTGGAAGGGGTCAGAAAAAGGGAAGGGGGAGGCAGAGCCAAACAAGAAGTACTGAGGAAAATGAGTCCATTGAATCAGCTGTGAGCTCTGCTGGGTCACCCTTTGGATGGTAAAATCTGGCTAGGGTGAATCCCAGCCACGAAGGAAGAGGGAAAGGGAATTCTAAGAACCACAGTTCACCAGCCCCAAATTACTGCCTCCTGCAGGGAGCTTAGTGTCACTGTGAGAAGCAGTGCTGGTTGATAGATGGAGGAATATCTCAGCACAAATATTTGGATCACACTTGGTGTTTCTGTAGGACTCAAATCTCTTTTTGCTGGTGTAACCTCCTGTGGGCAGACACGTGTCTCTGCTCAGTAGCTACACATGGTACCACTGTCCCCTGGGGAGACCCTTGTCTCTCCATACCCTTCTGCAGTCCCCGTGCCATAGCCCCTTTCCAGTGTTCAAAGTGAAGGGGCAGAGAAGAGCCTTCACCCTCCTTGTCTTTTCCCGTAGGTTGTGGAGCTTCTGGGTTCACCCAGTCCTCACCTGATTTCACCAGAAATACCAGCTGAATTTCTCTGTGGCAGCATTCACAAACTGATGGCTGATCTGTGTGGTTCTTCATGTTTTACAGTATATTTCTAAGAATGTTTCTGCCACTGAGCACGTGATCCGAAGGGAAACAGAGACAACCTTTTCGGGCAGTCACTCCTGCTCCCCATCTCATCACTGCTCCACGGCCACTCCAACGTCCAGCCAGAGGTGATGTGTACCATTTCCCCCTGAACTTTCTCCTGCTGTTTGCCTTAGGATGCTGTGAGATTCAAAAGGTTTTCCTTTCACCTCGCTTTCTGTTTTCATTTGATGTTTGGCTCTGCGCTGGCTGTGTCTACACTGCAGGTCTTTGCAGGCACAGCTAGATAGTGAGAGGTGTGGAAAAGTGGGATCCTTGACCCTGCAGGGAGGTGCCAGCAGGAACCTGCAGCCCTGACATTGCTGGGAAACAGGAGGAAACCAAGATGTGCTTCCATGCTTTTTGCACAGACCCAATTGGGAGGATTCATGTAGGAAAGGCTTTGCAAGTTGTATTTGCAGCACACTGGCCACCTGAGATAATTCATGAAGCACACACAGGCTGTTTCATACTTAGAATGTATTTGCTGCGTGGAAGACAAAGCATACAAAATATCACAAAATGTTTTGGTCAGTTCCTCAGAGTCAGGGTCTGCCTTGGAACTCACAGGTTTTCACCAAAAAAAACCCTACTCCTGCACGATTTATCACAGTCCAGAGAGTTGTGTTAGAATCTCAGCCTCTGAGGTGGTGACACCTCTCTCACTGGAAGTCTTTCTGAGGTTTTCAGGAAAACTGGGTCTAGCAGGAGGGTGCCAATATTTCTTGTGACACAGGATGAGATGTATTTTTTGTTTTAATTTCAAAATAACTGTTAGAAGAAGAGCTGCATGACTTGGAAGCTGAACTTCTCATGGTTTTCAAGAGCATTTAAATTGCAAATAGACTCCCCTATTTTTATGATGTTAAGAAAAGTCTTTCAAATGCCCTAAGGAGAATCCTATGCTGTTTTGAGTTTGGATGCTCCACTTCTTCCTCTTACTCAGCTCTTGTGCTTCTTCCAGTAAGTGACGTTGTTTTCCGTGGAGATCCCTTGCCCTTGATACGTGACTGGCTCATGTACTTCATTAGCCTGATGGGTTTGTCTCCATTCATCCAGGAATCCTAAAATTCTTTCAGCTAAAGCTCATAGGTGGCTCCCAGCAGGTTTCCTCAGGGTTCAGGCATTCGTCAGGGTTGAACAAGTACTCAAGATCAACTTCCGATACTGAACTTGGGTTTTCAGGTGAATCCCTTCCAGATTCCTCTGGCTAGACCTCCAGCAAGCAGAGAGGGAGCCAAGAATGACTTGATGGGCTGGAAATGACAGATTTTTCCAGGGAAATCCCACCCCTCGTGAGCTAGACGGTGTGTTTTCCAGGTTTTTTGAATTTGTACTCTGCAGCCCAGCCCTGGATAGGTGTGTGCGAGCTTGAGCCAGGTGTGCAGAGGCTCCTGTGCTGTCAGAGCTGCACTTTGCTGGCCTTCCATGCTCACTCCAAAGTCCTGGGCCATCCCTGGGCAGCTCCTGAAGAGCAAAGGTGTGCCTGGAGGGCAGCATTAGCACATGGCAGCTGTGGGGAGGAACCTACCTTGCGTAGCCTCTGGCCCTGGCTACCTGCCACCTAATTTTCCTGAGTCAAGTGCAGCAAGCAGGTGCTTCTTGAAGTCATGCCAGAGGCAAACTACTGGCATAATCAGGCTCCATTTTACTCCATCAGTGCCTCTAATGAGGACACTGTTTGAAGTTATAAATGAGCATGTGCCTGGAGCCATCAATAATTAACAAGTTCTTGGGAAGTCTTAATGAGGCCTGCTCTCTTCTGCAAACCTCCACCCAAAATCCTCCACCGGCACAGCTCCATCTGGTGCAGTTTGGGAGTTCAGAGGTGTTGTATTTCTGCCATGGAGGGTGCCAGTGTGGTGGCCGTGGTGTGGGTGGGACCCCGGTGTGCAGGTGGCCCCGTGTGACCCCGGTGAGTCCCTGTGGGATGTCCTGTTTCCCCCCAGACTAGGACAGGTGAGGCTCTGAGTGCTCAGCAAGGTCTAGCCAGCATATCATAGCTTTGTCTAGCACCTTGAAAGTGTTTTGCTGCCAAAATCTTTTATAAACCAGTGGAAACTGAACATCCAGATCTCTCTTTGGTACACTTCTCTCTGCTAATTTTGAGTGGCTTCTCCTGGCTCCTCTCTGGTAGCAATTCCAAAGGGGCTGTCACTTGGCAGTGCTGGTGGCACATTTGAAGAAACTTGGCTGACTTGCCTTGGCATGGCCACTGTGTTGCTCCACACCCAGAATGGTTTGCAAGCACAAATCAGGATTGCACTGGCCTCCCTCCAGAGGCTGTCCCTTCACGGCCATTTATTCAGTGGTGGGATAAATATCTTCTATGCACTGTTTTGCTTTCTTTGTCCTCTAGTGATATCTCCAAGAAGTAGCAAAGAAAGGCAAATCAAAGGTAGGGTTGGGAAGCTGGGCACATCCCTGGCCGGACATATCCTAGTGAGAGAGAGAAAGGGGATGCCAGTGCAGAGGTGCAGAGCTGAGTGTGAGCAGTGCTCTTTGGAGAAGAGCTCGAAGGGGATTCCTTGCTCACTGTCCACTCGGGGTTTGGTCCACAGACACGAAAGCCACACCTGGAGCTTGGAGCGAACGGAGAGCCTGACTTCAGACTCCCAGTCTGGGATAATGCTGTCCTCGGTGGGAACCAGCAAATGCAACAGCCCCGCGTGCGTGGAGGCGCGGGCTCGCCGCGGGGCCACCTTCTGCATCGAGGACTCGCGGAGACCCACGACGCAGTACCGGGACTCGGTGGATTCCCTGCGGGACTCACCCCACAGCGAGAGGTCAGACCCCACTGCTCGGTGCCACAGCAGCACAGCGGGGTACAGCTGTGCCCTCTGTGCACAACAAAAACATGTTTGCCCTTCCCAGCCCTAGAGCAGCAGTCCCATGGTGGCACTGGAGAAACTCCAGCTCTGTCCTGCCAGAGGAGGCCACTCTGGTAGGGGCAGCAGCCAGTGCTGCATCCTGTTCACCTGGTGGCAACGTAGATTTGGAGCACAGGGATGACAGGGGTGTAAAATACCCGGCTGCAGTCAGCAAATGGTAAAGAAAACCTGGCTCGAGAGTGCACCCCAGGCAGTTTGGTGGGCTGGCAGCTCAAGCAGGGTCTGGCCCTCAGGTACATGGGGACAAGGTGTGTTTCCTCAGCACAGTCCTGGATGCCCTGGTGAGCAGGATGTTGTACATGGGCACAGCAGTTGGATAGGGTTTGGTATGATCCAGCCTTCCAAGGAGCACAACTGCAGAGCTGAGATACCATCAACAGCAGTAACAGTTGTCCTTCCCTTGGTTTGGTTCCTCATGGTGTAGAAGCACACCTCCACCCTTGATCCAGCCCTTTGCAGGTAGCCATTGGTGATGCTGGGTGGCCACATGGGCAGTTACCCTTCAAGGCAGTGGGACTTGTCCATGGGGCAGAGGAGAAAGGCAGTGACTCCTGCTCTCTCACTCCTGTCCCTGGTCCATTCAGGTTGACTCAGCTCGTACAGAGATCTCATACTTCACAAAACACATGGGTAAAAAGATGCTGAACTAGCCAGAGAGCCTGGGCAGATGGAATTGGGCAGAGACAACACTGGGACTATTGAGAGGAAATGAGATCTGCTCCTTAGAAAGAGGTGATGCCAAAGGAAGGGCTGTTTGGAGAGGAGCTGGACTAGACACAGATGGCCACACTGATGCTGTCACTAGAGGACAGTGGTAGATGCATTTTTGAGACATAAGATTTTTGCTAAGTCAGAGTAAGCAATGCCCAGGCTTTCCCCATCTGTGGCCTGAGCAGGAGGAGGGAATTTGGGGATCTTGCTTGGAGAGAAGCCTGGCAGCTCCAGAGGGAACAGAAGGCAGGCAGATGAGAGGCAGTGAAGCCTTGCCTCAACGATTCCAGGCAGGAGTTGCATGCTGAGTCCCTCTGGAAGGGCAGGCTGGGGATGCACAGTGCACGGTGTCCTAGTGCCCCACTGAAAGCAACAGCTCATCCTCCCTTGGCCCAGCAGTGCAAGCTCCCTCCACCTGGTTCCCCAGGAGTTATGGAGCTCCAGGAGCGGGTGCACCAGAGGCCTCACGGGTCCCCGGGCCGGGCGTTCGGCAAAGCGTGGGCGCAGCTGATGGTTTTGGGGTTCTTTTTCGGTGTGTCCAAACAGAGGTGTTCTTTTTTCAGGTACGTGTCGGCCCTGACCACCCCAGCACGCCTGTCGCCCGTTGACTTCCACTACTCGATGACCACGCAGGTGCCCACCTTCGAGATCACGTCCCCCAACTCGGCGCACGCCGTGTCCCTGCCGCCGGCGGCTCCCATCAGCTTCCGCGTGGAGGAACAGCAGCCCCTCCTGCGGCGCTACCAGCTCCCCTTCCAGGACACGCAGAGGTACGACAGCTACTACCAAAGGAAGACCTACCTAAACGACAGCATGGGGAGCCTTCCTTCCAGCCCCTTCCGCATCACGGAGGACGACGAGTATGAGACGACGCAGGAGTACGTCACAGCGCTAGAGCAGCCAAAGAAAACAGCCAGCAGCAACAGGCGGTGGAAAAAATCCAAACTGAACGGGCACGTCCCTCACAGAGCCAGAGCCGTCCGGGACTCCTTCTCCTTGAGCAGCGCCTCTTACAGCGAGTCTGACGAGGAGCTGGTGGCCGAGAGCACCCCGTTCCTAAGCACTCAGAACAATGAGGCGGCGCACACAGAGTCGCCGCCGCTGCACCGGCCGGGCGACAGCCGGACTCACTATTCCTGCAGCAGACACAGCGCCCACGGGGAGAGTGGGCGCAGCAGCCTGGCACACGTGGCGCCCAAACCGGACCCCGACCCTCTCTAGGCACCTCCCAGACTTCGTCGCACCCGCAGACACAACCGCGTGGAGGAGGCCGGAGGAGGGAGGCGAGACAAAACAGAAACAGAAACAAAAACAAAAAAAACAAACCATGGAACAAAAAAAAACAAACAAACAAACAGAAAAAAAAACGAACACAAAAAAACAAAACAAAAAAAATAAATATTTTTATTTTATATAAAAGAGGGGGAAAAAATATAACAAATAAAATGTTTTATTTTCATTTTAGCAAAGTTGTCTTATAATAGCTAACGACAATGACTTTTTTATAGGGAATCTCTATTTATATGTAATGTCTTGATTTACAGCTTCCGAGAAAAAAAAAAAAGATTTAAAAAAAAAAAAAAGAAGAAGAAAAGAAAACAAACAATAAAGTAAAAAAGAAAAGTGGGCCAATTTTTGACTACTTAAAAATAGAAAACAAAACTATCGTGGTGCCTTTTGCTGTATGCTAGTGCTGGGATTCATGCCGAGGATTCTGTTTCAGTAGCATTTTTAAGATCATAGATTTTTGTTTGGGAGACAACCCGTCACAAGGGCGCTCTTCTGTCAGAAGAAAACAGCCTCGCCACTTTGCCCCCCCGTACCCTGCTATTAATGATCTTATCCTTTAAAGTATTGTTTAAACACACATTAAGGACATGAGTGGGAGCATTTCCATTATCATGTCTAACGGGGATCTGTCTTGCCCTGTAAAATACTTGTATTTTTGCTTAAATCAGGAGAAAAAGAAACCCAAAAGCACCGTGCCGAAATGCAAGAAATAACGTTTCTTTTGCCACACAGGTAGGAAGACAAAATGAAATCGTGCAGCAGCAGCAGCCCTCACAATGTATCTCCCAACCTTTGGCCATCTCACCTGTGGGTCTGGAGTTGGGTTGGCACAGATTTGTGGTCAGGCAAGGCAGACACCTGTGTGATCACACCCGTGGGGGTATCACACCCTGTCAGGTGCCGCTGAATCCGGGTCGCTGAATCCATCCTGGGCAGGCAGTGTGTGGTGTTCCCAGCGGGGTGGGCTCTGTCCAGCCCCGGTGCCCGTGGCTGTGTTGCCGTGCCGGTGCCGTGCTGGCCACGGCACCCCCTTGGCTGAGCGGTGCAGCTGCGGTGTGGCGTTGGCCGGGGCACCGTGTGCCGTAGGGCCGTGGGGGCTGTGGTGTCCTGTGTGACATCGTGAACAACATCCTTGCCAGGAGGACACCCAGAGGGTGGTCCCAAGGCGTGTCACGGCCGCGTCTCCCCCCCGGCCGCGGTGCTGGGCGGTCGCCGGCTGTGCTGCCTCAGGGTTCAGCAGGACCCCGAGCACTTTTGGCCCCGCTTGTCGCCCCTGCCTTGGCTGGGAAGGGCCCCGTGTGGGGCAGCCCAGCGAGGGATCCTTCCCTACCACCGTGCCATGTATTGTAAAGAAAGTTGTTACCGTCACGTCCCGCCATCGGCGGCGGACGTCGCGTTCCCAAACTCGGAGCAGCTCTGGCCATCGGCCCTGTGGCGCAAAGAGACAGTCCTGCGTGTCCAGGCGGCAGAGCACCCCCCGTGGAAGTGCCCCTCTCTCCTCAGTTCTCTGCAGCAAACCTGTTTACATTGTAGCCTGACTTTTTTCTTTTTATATTTTTACTTCTGCATGTCCTTTGCATTTCAGATACTGTAGATTGGATGCATGGTGAAGCTGTGACTGAGAAGATAATACAACAATTGACAGTGTATTATTTCATTTAACTTTTAGCAATAAAGTAACTAAACCCTCTATTCCTCACCCATGATGGGGTCAGATAGAAAACTCTGCTAATTTGTCATAAGATGATTGTCAAAGTTTGCTCTGGATTGTCTGAATGTCAGAACTCTCGACTGTTTAACACTTGAACATTTTTTTATATTATAAATAAAATAAGAAATAACAAGTTGTGGGCTGCATTAATATCAGGCCCTTTGGGGGGCAAGTGGGGAGCTGTAACAGGTACCATCCACAGAATCACAGACTGGTCGAGGTTGGAAAAGATTTCTTCCAAATTCCCTGCTACAACAGCTCACCCAGAGCCAGTTGCCCAGGCCTGTGCCCAGTCAGGGTTTGAATGTCTCCAGGGATGGCAACACCACAGCTTCTCTGGGTAGCCTCTGTCAGTGCTTGGCTCCACTCAAAGCAAAAAAGTGTCTTCTTGCATTTAGACTGTATTTACAATTTTTTTATTTTCTGCCCATTGCCTCCTGTCCTGTCACTGGACGCTGTTGAGAAGAGTCCAGCTTCCTCTTCTTCACTGCCTCCCATCAGGTATTTATACATATGGACAATGTCCCCCTGAGTCTTCTCCAGGCTGAACAGCCCCAGCTCCCTCATCCTTTCCTCATATGAGTGATGCTCTGGTTTAGCAAAGATCTTTATGCCCATAGAGACCCATAGGTAGGTGTTTTTCTACCTGGCATGGATATTTGACCGTCACTGCAGGGATTAGGAGGTGAGTGAATGCCACCCTCACATCCCTCGGGTGGATCTCATTCCTTCTCCAACTGCAGACCAGGAGATCCTCCTTCACTCCAAATGTGGCAGCTTTTAGCTGTTCCAAGAAAGGACAAGATCTGTGGCATGTGCTACATGCTAGCACCCATTTCAGTGACTTTTTTCAGCAGAGTGGAGATGTGTTGGGTCCCACCCTGCCAGTGCTGCGCTGTCGTGCAGCACCTGCCCACCCACAAAACAGGTCCCTTCTTCAGCTCTCCCATGGCAAATCCATGTCTCTGGATAGCCTCCCTGTAGAGGACTCACTGACAACACAGTGTATTCACAGGCATCACAGGCCCTGAGGGGGAACTCATGGCTCAGCCCAGCTCAGATCTCACTCCCTTGTTCCTGCTCAGTGAGATGAGGAGGTGCCCAAAAGTCCCAGATGAATTGCCCCTAGGAGGAGAGGGATCTGCTACACACTGGTCTGAGACAACCCTATGGAAATGGATAGGTTGGAACTTAATGATCTTGGTTAGAACTAGATGATCTGGTTGGAACAAGATGATCTTCAAGGTCCCTTCCAACCCAAACCATTCTATGATTCTATGAATGCACAAAGCCATGAGAGAAGCCCCCAGTCTTCAGGATGCTGCCCACGCTGAAGGCCCAGATAATCACACCCACAGCCTGGGCTTCTTCTGCTCCAACCCCCCCCCCCCAGGATGCCCATTGCCTTGGAGCTAACCCTGCTGGGTCACAGGCCACCCCTAACACCCATCACATGCGCTGAGGGGACTTCAGACAGACCAGAGGGCTCAGCACTTCACCCTCAATAAGGCATCTCAGCACTGATTTCCCAGAAGGTTAAAGGCTGAAGGATCCTGCCCTCCTGCCACGGGGCTCATGTCACCCAAGGAGGTCTTAGATGTCTAGGACTGGGGATAAAGGACTGAGGATAAAAGGTGAGGATAAAGCGTAAAGGATAAAGGATGAAGGTCAAATCCTGATTTGGGAGATATTTGCCATGTAACCCTTGGACACATCATGCCCCACTTCTGTGCAGCCCCAAGCCTTGCTGGATGAAGGCAGTGGTACAGTGCAGCTCTCCACTCTCCCGTTACTCTTGGGACATGCTCCAACTTCCCACTGCCGTTGATCTCCCATCTTCTCTCCTCCAGTGGCTCCTGGAGCATAGAGAGGTAGACAGGAACAGACAGAGAGCACCTGACCCCTTGGAAGGGACACATGTGGGAGATCACCAAGGCTTATCCCTGAGGAAAACAGAGAAATAGAAAAGAGAGGTAGGGAGCCATGGGGTTCCCAAAGCAACCCTGGCTCTCCTCAGAATCTGTGAGCTTGTGAGCTCCATTCATGGAGAAGTTCCCCCCAAGGCTGGCACAGCAGCATCTGCATTACAAGAAAGTGCAGCTCTTGAGTCTCCTGCTGGGGTGCAGAGCAACCCTGGGGTGCGGAGCAACCATGTGGCCAAACCTCAGGGTGTACTCAATGCAACTCATCCCCACCAAGCATCCCTGCCACTCTCTGCTCTCTGGGTCCCTCAGAAAGGAGCTGTGGGTTTGCCCTGCACAGGGGGATCCTTCCCTGCTCCATGGTTTGAGGGGATCTGTGATGCTCTGCATCTGCTAAGGCATCACTAGCTCAGAGCCATGGCAGCCTCAGGATTTTTTTTTTTGTGGTGATTTCTTGTTAAACGTGCCCCTTGATTCCCATAATTGTGTGCTATATTTAGAGGCAGCTACGCTACTTCAATTTTCTCTCCGATTGCCTCCGAAGGAAGCCTGTGTATCTCTCTCCTTTTTCCCCTGGCTGGTTTATTTTTAGACTCCTCATTTCCAGCCACGTGTATTCCCAGGGTTTGGCCGTAAATATTTTACAGCGATTTTCACAGGTGGGGGGAGCCACCAAAGCCTCCTGCCAGCTCTGCTCTGCGTGTGTGATGCCTTTGCTGCCCTTCCCAGAGGGGAAGGAACTGCTCTGCTGACACAGATCGGGTGACACAAGCAGGAGAGGAGCACCAGATCCTGGCTTTGGGATCACAAAGCCTCCCCCACAAAGAAGTCCCTCTGAAATGAATTTGGTGGTGTGTCCAGAAGTGGTCAGGCTGAACCACCGCTGTCAGGTGAGGTTGTGTAAGACCCAGAGCAGTCGTGGTGCCTGCTAGAGGGGCTGGCACAGGCTGGGGATGTGCCAGAAAGCACATCTGGGTACCTGCAGGAAGAGAAAAGGATGTGGTTGCCTAACTCCTCTGAGATGCTGCTCTTCTCTCCTAGAGGTGGGTGGCTGAGTCCTTGACCTTCAGAGGGGGAAGGAGGGGGGAAAGAACTGTTTTCTTCCAGGTCACAAGTTGAGGATGTGGATTGGTCAAACCAGGAATTCTGGCTGTTCTCAGTGCCCTTGTGCAGATGAGATGTTCTCACCACACCTGCATGTGTGTGTGAACCTGGATCAGGACTTGTGCACTTGGCAAACTGCTGGTAGTTTTACCCTCAGAGTGAAGTGCAAGTTTTTACCCTCAGTGCAAGTTTTACCCTCAGAGTTGTCTTGCCTCTGTCTGACATCAGCTGCCACCCCTTCCCAAATCCATGGGGTGGTGAGTCTCAAGGCTTTGAGGCCTTT